AGCCTTGTCCTTCACTATTTTCTACAGAGTGGCAGCTGCATTTTGAAAGATCCAGTCTGATCACTGCTTCCATGGCGCCTGCTGATATTCAAGCCGGAAGTAAAACTCCTCAGCATAGTGTGGGAGGCTCACTGGCATCTGCTCTGCCTAACTGCCGGGTCTTCTCTCTTATCTTACCCCACTTACATCCTACATCTCAGGAAGAGCTCCATGCTCTGTGTCCAGTCTGTGTGCTTTATCCAGGCTACTGTCTGCCTAGAATGTTCTTGACCTTCTCCTTCAGCACCCAGAGAACCATCTGCTTGTCCTTTAAGAAACTGTTCCTAGCTAACTACTTCTTTTTTTTTTCTTTTTGAGACAGGGTCTTACGCTGTCACCCAGGCTGGAGTGCAGTGGCCCGATCACTGCTCATTGCAGCCTTGACCTCCCAAGGCTCAGGTGATCCTCCTGCCTCAGCCCCCTGAGTAGCTGGGGCTACAGGTACACCATCACGCCTGGCTAATTTTTGTATTTTTAGTAGAGACAGGGTTTTGCCATGTTGCCAAGGCTGGTCTTAAACTCCTGGGCTCAATCAATCTGCACACCTCAGCCTTCCAAAGTGCCGGGATTACAGACATGAGCCCCCACTGCGTCAGGCCATAGCTGCCTTCTTCTAAGAAACTTTCGTACCCTGCCCCTGGACACATGTACCTGAATTTCACCCCCTCTCAGCTCCCTGGCATGCACCCCCACCTTGTGTGGCTATCTGAGTCACTTTCCAGGTTTGGGGATCCTGGAGGACAGAGTCCACTTATCTTGTATTTCTGGTGCACTGCCTAGAGAAGATGCACAGTAACTATTTTCAGAACAAAGCTCCAGATTGCAACCGCTCCACTCTGCTCTTTTGATTTTAAATGGCCGATGAATGTTACAGCTGCAAGACCCAATATGGTTCCTGCGAAAGTCTGGGTGGCAAGGTACACAGGCCGGGCGCTTGCAGGGTTTAAGATGAAAGGCATCTAAACTACCCTTTCCCCTTTCTTGGCTCTGCTGTTGCTCAGAATATCTGAAGCAGAATCAATAGGCTGGCTTACAGAAAGCCTGGAACTACAAAGGCAGAGAAAAACATCTGTCACCACTGCACAGTTCACTTTTTTTTGGCAGACGCACGATAGCAGAAGGTCTCAGCATATGATTTTGAAAACAGGTCACTACTGCTGCAAATTCCTGGAAGACCTTCGGGCAAGAATGAAAAAGCCCCAGCTCTGCTCCAGCTCTGCAGGCCTCTCGGATCTGAAAAGCTGCGTTCCTGTTCCAGGTTCGGGGGGCCAGGAGGCTGTGTGTCATCACACCTGTGCTCAACAGGCTCTCCCAAACACAGACCTGATACAGCCACCTCCCTATGCCTCCCCCACGTGCTAGGCGGTCCAGGAGACTGTGGTTCCCAAGCACCCTCAAGCTTCTCAAGGCCGAAGCTCTCTCTGAGTTCTGGGCACTATTACTACCTTAGAACATCCTTGTGGCCAGTTTCAGTGAGAAACAGGGAAGATAAGGACTGCTTATCACATTGGAGAAGGAAGCCGCCCATTGTGAGCCAGGATAGCTGAGTGCTTGCTGGGAAGACTATAAGGCAGGGGCTGAAAACCCAGATGAGTTAGGCTGAGAGGTTTGCCCGTTCACATCTAATTGTGACAACAGTATCTGATCATGAGAAGCCCTGATCAGTGTTCTTGTATGCCCTGTGCAGCTACTAGGGCTACAAGTTGACTTCTTCAAGACTGACACTTGCATGAGATAGGGGTTGGCACTCTTGTCATTTCAATTGGCCACTACGAGGCAGCCAATTAACAAAGCATGGGCAACAGCCTTCAGAATAACCCACAGAGGCTATCACAACACAGTACTGGTTCCTTGCATTTACACAAGCTACATTTTATAGGGTACTTTCATATACAACGTGTCATTTGATCACACAGCAGTCCTTTGTGCAAGGCAGTGCATACATCATGACCTCCCATTTGCAAATGGCATCTGAGGCTCTGAAGGCTTTGAGGACTTGCCCATGGATCCTCCCCTCATGAGTGGCAGAGGACCAGGGCTGGAAGAGGACCAGGGCTGGAAGAGGACCAGGGCTCAAACATCCTCTGGGCCCTAGTGGAGTCACTCAACAGTTCTACATGGCGAGGTGAGTCCTAGTTGTAACATTTGGTAAAATCAGCAGCATTTAAAAAAATCTGTAGCTGGGGCTCAACAACTCCAGGGCATTTACAGTTAAAGTGCAGCCCGTGGACCAGCAGCACTAGGATTCCCTGGAAGTTCATAAGAATTGTGGAATCTCAGACTCACCCAGACCCACCGAATCAGGGTCTGCCTTCAACAAAACCCCAGGGAGTGTCACAGGGCGTTTCAGTTTGAGGAGCTCTGTGCTGGGGAGCACATGCCTTCCTCTCTCTGCTCTGGCTTCACCTTGGGGAAGCAGCTCAGGTGGGAAGGGTTTACAGAAAAGATGCTTCCATCTGATTGCTTCCTGACAACTGCAGGAAAAGCTGCCGTATCCGTCCGGGTCCCCTCTTATGGAACAGGTCTCCTTTTCTTCCTAGCTCCCCGCTAAACACTTTCAGCCAAGAGACTATCTCAGACAACCCAGAATCTTCTCTCTGACATTAATTTTGATAAAAGCGTAAAGATGAAAGATGCAATTTCAGTCTTCCTTGATTTCTGAGAATACCGAAGTCTGTCTAAAGTACTCCCAATATGAGTTGTGGCAGAGTTGTGATTTCCTAAGGAAGGTCGGTGATGTTAAAATTTTTCTCTCCTTCTTTTGAGAAAAAAATCTGTCTTCATCCCTCTAATGGTGTACATGGCTTGATTGACATGCCTGATAATTGGCTGGTAAATTGGCAGCTCTGCCTAGCCACAGGGCTAACACCGCTTACAAACAGAAAAAAAAAAATTGTTTTTAAAGAGCTGAAGCAGAACGTGATGACAGATATGGGCAAGGTTTTAACCAGTTTCACTAGTAAAGTTGGAATTATCCTCCCCTTTTACATTGTTCTGCAATTAACAGGGCAGTCACCAGATTTTTTTCATGATTCTTTCTGAGCACTTTCATAGGAAGATAATAGGTTGAAACCAAGGTGTTGATGTGTTTCTATGTATAACTAATCTTCAGTGACCTTTGATTTTTTCCTGCTTTGACTGTATGAGCACAACACCACTGTGTGGTTTTCAGCACAATAGTTTAATGGTGCCAGGCCTGCCCTAAGTGGTGGCAGTGACAGTCTTCTCCCCAGGTAAGTGGTTGCCATGCAGCACATTTGGGACAACGGCCAGTGCTACCACTTGGCGGGGGACCTCTTTCAGCCTATAAGGTTGAAGGTATATGGTTAAAAGAAGCGTTTCATCTTCTCTCCCAATAAATCTTGATCAAGAAAGTGCATATAAGCTCACTTTTAGCATTTCATTAGAGGCAGTAGCATACCATTCTAATCAGTTTTAATGAAAGGCAAACTCCTAATTACAAATTAAACACACTTAGGGACACTTAACTGTTAAATACATCATTTACTAAAGATTAGCTTTTCTCTGGGACTATTTTACTTTTGCCTGTGGGACGGTCTCAGGCCCTAAGGATTTGTTTCCTTCTGTTTCTGGCATCTGTTCAGAAGAGGGTGCATTAACTGCCTCGTTAGCAATTTCTGGCTGGTCCGTGAGCCACCGGATTAAGTCAGCCCCGAGGATAAGAATCTTTGCACCAAATCCTTTTCACTAAGGGGACATGTGAGATTGGCCGTGTGATTCAATTCAAGGTCCATCAGAGCCCCCTCCTCCAGAATTTATGCTCTAATTTACAAGCTGGTCTTTGAAAGGAGCCCGGCCAAACTCCCTCTGAACATTAAAAAAGTATCGCACTCGTATTTCCAGCTATAAGTTTACAAACTGGTAGATTCCCAGAAAGATATTCTGGTCCAGGTGTAGACCTCCGTTTCCAAACCTCTTTGTTCCTCGGACCCAATGATGTTTTTAGTTATTTTGTACCTTCTAAGGGCAACTTCAGGACATGGCAATCTTATGGGTGTATGTGTTTGGCAAGGTGGGGTGTGGCGGGGAAGAAGGCAATGGTGAAGGAACGAAGACTCTTAAATGTTCATTTTCTCCTCGCCTCTGGGACTGATAAAACTCAAGTTTCCAGGGCCTACTGTGTCACCTGGCCAGCATTCATTTCTGTTTTTGTTTTTTGACTAGGCCTGATTTGGGGAAGCCCTTGACACACCCCACAGAAGGCCTCCACTTTGGGTAAACACTAGATGCTCTTATTGGCACAGATGAGCACCACGGGTCAACACCTACACTGTGACTCCCCGGGAAGCTGCGGGAGCCCTCCTGCCCTCTGAGGTAGGGGGTTGAGGCCGGAGGGTTTCTGGCCCCTTTTTGAAAGGGATGTCATTCCAATGGACTCCATTTGAGAAAATCTAGTCAACAAAGTCCAGACACTGCTTTGGTTTTGACCATCACACTGGGAGATATTCAGACCCATGCAATTACATACCCGAAACGGGGCATGTCTTGGAATTAGAAAGAGGATGAGTAAGGAAGTCCTCCCAGCGAACATCTACATGAGGAAAGTAAGCTACAGGAAGCGTCTGAGTGACCTTGGTCCTCCATGGCCTTGCGGTCCTCACCCCAGCCTGCTGAGGGATGAACTGAGCTACACAGTTCTCTCACTTCTAAGCTTTCTGGGGACCTACTGCTTGCCGTCTCTGGAAGACGCTGCCTGCCGCTGCTTGATATAAAGGGGCTCCCGGGATCAAGGGGCGGGAGGCAGAGGAAGGAGCGTTCACCACCCAGGGTGGGGAGAATTCTGCTCCCAACCCCACTGGGGGGGCAGATGCGTTCGCTGCGACATCTCTCCACCGGCTCCCACCGGCCCACCCCAGCGCCCGCCGCCAGGGGCAGCTCTGCAGAGTCCGCGCCCACGAGCAGCCCCGGCCAGCAGCCCTCCTCCTGCCGGAGGCGCCTACCTGTATCGCTGCTTCACAGACTGCTTCTCCGTGGACTTGCAGACGTGCCCCACGTAGTACAACGGGAAGAACAGAAAGTTCCAGTTGGTGGCAAACCACGTGAGGGTGAAGGGCGCGTCGAACTTCCCGAAGGTCAGCTTGGCGAGCTGCGTGGAGCCCGCCCACGAGGAGCACACGCACAGCGCGACCGCCACGCCCCAGAACACCTTCTTGAGCTGCGCAGGGGAGCACGTCCAGCAGCGGCGGCTCGCTCTCCCGCCGGCCTCCACCCCGGCCGGCGCCTGGGCCTCCGCCGGGCCCGGGGAGTCCCGGGGGCGCTCCTCCCCTGCGGAAGAGAAGGGCGTGGTTAGCGGGGCCAGCAGACCTCTCCCCTGCACTTCTCGGGGCGCTGCCTGCAGCCAGTGTCACCCCCAGCTACCTGGGGGCGGGGAGACAGCGGGCGCAGGGGTGGCTTCCTGGACGGCTGTGCGACCCCAAGCTGCAATAGAAGGCGTTTGCACTCACTGATTTTCCTCCCCTTCAGATCCTCGGCTCTCCAGGTGTGGTCCCTGGGCCCCGGAACAGCAGCATTCCCCCTCCCGTAACCAGAACTTGTTGGAAATGCGGAATCGCAGGGCTCACCCCAGACCCCCAAATCAGAACCTGAATTCACACACAGAGCGGCTGAAATATCTCCACTGTCGTTTACCTCAATTGACGGGTACTCAGGTGTGATATTGTGCTGGCCTAGAGGCAGAACCTGAGCAACGCTATTTTTATAAAATGCAAAACTGTTTTTTAAATAAGTTGCAATGGCTGCCCCATTCTCCTCACAATAACTACTGGCCTTGGCCTCTGTAAATAGAACTGCTAGTTTGTTCTCCAAAACTATGTAAAGCTGCTTACCTTTTCTTATCAGTAACTGCTAAAATCTGTGACTTCTATCACCACCCAGACAATGTGTAAACAAATGTATATCTTGACTTCTGTAAACCACTGAAGTAACAAACAGAATGACAAAAGTTCCCTGGACCTTGGAATGTCCGGAGACCCCCGCCCTTGTCTCCACCCAGGAGGTGAATCACAGAATCCCCTGGACCTTGGAATGTCCGGAGACCCCCACCCTGCTCTCCACCCAGGAGGTGAATTACAGAATCCCCTGGACCTTGGGATGTCCGGAGACCCCCACCCTGCTCTCCACCCAGGAGGTGAATCACAGAATCCCCTAGCCCTTGGAATGTCCGAAACCTTTTCATCCCCATCCCTGCTCCTCACCCCCACTCCCAAGGTGGTTTTTCGGGTATAAAATGTCTTGGCACCCTCCTTTTGACGCCACAGGTTGGAGAGACGTGAGTCCTCTGTGGTCGCTGGCATAATAAATGACCCTGAAATCTGGCATACTTTTGTCTTGGTGCTAACTTTCTACGCTCGGTCAAATACAACACAGGTGCTCCTGGGTGCGGGGGCCGTACTGGGAGCTGGAGATTGCTGCATGAGGAGGACTTGACCTCTAAAAGATCCCAGTACCTTGACAGAGGTGGCCTGTTACTTAAAGGCACAGATGGCCAAGACTCTCCTTTTATATTGTGTGTACAGCAAAAATAGACTTTCCCACTCTTTTCTATCTGCTTTAACTGGCTTCCTGCTGATAGCCTGCAATCCCACTTCGAAGCTTTACTTAAAAACCACAACCTCTGGCAGCTGGTGTGTGAAAGGCCACAGACACTCCATTCTAGAGCTGTGTGATTTCTGCAAACCAGGCTGCAGCCCAAAGCTTGGCTCTGCGGCAGTGTTGTTCACACAGACCAGAAGAAGGTGAAAAGGCGTTATTTTCCACTGTTTGCTTTCCATTCACATTTGTGTGCGAGTCAGTCAGCTGGAAATTTAAACAAAGCTGCAGCTTGTGTCGGGTGTAACTATGGATGGATGCGGATTTCCAGAAGGCAATCTACTTGCATTTTATAATGATGTCCTGCCTGGCACCTGGCTGAATGGGGTCGCACCACCGCTAAGAGGCCATTTTCACTATAGGGTTACAGGGTTATATCTGGGACTCATTACAGGGTTACAGGGTTATATTTGGGACTCATTAGTCCCAAATATATTGGGGTCAAACGTTCTTTCTCTGTATTGTTTAAACTTAGTTTAAATAACTTTAATAACAAACTGAAGCATTATGATTCTATGAGGCAAAAATCGTGATTCAACATGGCCTGTTTTTCAGGTGTTAGCTAGTATCGTTAACCACCAGCTCTGCTGTATCTGTTTTAGCCAAAGATAAACTGAAGCATTACATGGCTAGTCAAAGAGATAATATACTTTATTGGCCCAAATTCCGTTTGACACCATCTCTATTGTGCTTTATTAATAATGTCCCTCCTTCTCTTTTACTGTGCTCACATATCCAAGTTGGAAAGCCCCTGGAAATCCAAACGTTTGGCCACCCTCTGAGCTTCTGACAAGTTATCTGTTCTGCATGGACTGCAGGGCAGAAAGATGGGGAGGACAAAAAGGAAGATCGATTTCCAGCCTTTTGGCGAGCTGTGTGCCTATTCCCTCCTACCAGGATCTCTTGACTTTCCTCACTGTGAATTCCCACAACTTAATGCAACTGCAGTTTCAGACAGAAGCATGCACATTTCAGTTTACACACGAATTATCTGCCATTTTGAATTAGCATCTGCAGCCCTTCATTATCGAGACAGTTTGCAAGGTGTGTTGGAGGTTAGGGGGGTTGTCACTGTTAGTGTCACAGTCAAAAACTCATCCTGAAAAGATGATTGTAGAGATAGAAAAAAAAAGTTCACATAAAAATAAAATGCAGCTTCATGGTAAAAACTTCCAGTGAAAGAATGGACTCCAAAAGAGGCTGAGTAAATTCAGCTCACAGTATGTTTTTCATTGAATGTTTTCATTATAGCAAATTAAGCTTTAAAACTTAGCAAACTAAGCAGTGATGCTGCATAGCTTTTACAATGAAGGAGAAAATCATCAAATCATGTAATTTGGTATTGCTAAAATGTTTCTATGGATTTGGATTAAAGAAGTCGTTCTCTAACTTTGTAACTTCTCTGGATCCTCTAACCAAAGGAATATGAACAATACACAAACAAAATTAAGACACTTAGAACTAAACTCACTACTCTGTTATTTGAAAACAACCATATAGAAATAGAATAACCTTTTCCAAAATGCAATGGAGTTAACAGGCATTATAAGGAAAAAAGATTCCATGTTTGGAGAAATTTGGAAAACACCAAGTAGAACAGACAGGTTCCTTTGCTGTAAAAATATTCAGGGCCAATGAATGGATATTGTGAATTTCTAAGAGACTGCTTCCCATATTATTTAAATGTGAAACACCTGTGGCAGGGACTACTATATTCTGGAACACACTTTGGGAAACACTGGACTAGACCCAGAAAGAATAACGGACAACCAAACCCAATTCATTGCAAACCTCCTACTTCACTACACTGTGCTTCTTATAATAATAATCAATTATCAGTTTCATTAGCTCATTCTTCATACTGCTAAATGTGTCATACCTCATACAAATAAATATATTCTTTATACATACATCATAAAAGTGCTAAGTAGTAAAAAGAAAAAGCAATTTTTAATGATGTTAGCACTCAGAGATATCACTTGACATTTGCTGCCATATTTTCCCTAGTCTTTTGTGTCTGTACACCACACACAGACACACACACACACTCCTCTCAGCAGAACCGTGCCCCCATCACAAATGGACACACAAACCCTTCACACACCCATACTGGAACATTGCCATCACACTGTGTTTTTATCTTTCATTTATTTAACTGAACTTAAACAGCATGCACTTTTTACATCTCACAGGGCTACAGGCAATGCAATGCATCCAGGAGCCTTTCAATCAGCCAGGAAATCGCTGTGAAGCGTGTACCCTGTGCCAAGAGCTTTGGGTGGCCTATAAATAAATGTAAAGCACGATTCCTACTCTTCAGGGATAGACAGTCTATGTGAGAGGGATGAAACAGACCCATGAAGGAATTACAGAACAACTATGTATAAAATAGAGATTCTGACTACATAACAGGAATTCTTCAGGAAGTATGGCCAGTATGAGTTGGGATTACCATGAAAAGAATCAGAAGAGGCAGGTGGTTGATCTGGGTCTTGGAGCATAGAACGTAAAAGTAAGAAAAAATAGGAGCAACGTTCAGGGTCAGGAATACACATGACCTGCCCACGGGCAGTGAGGATGGTGGTGAGATGTGAAATTCACTGCCACCTCGTCACTCTGCAATGCCTCATCTTGCTTTGGTTAGACATGCCACAGGAGAAACTGCCAGGTTTGCCGAAGGGACTGGAGCAAACTCAGATGTTGACTGATTCTACAAAGTGAGAAAATTAGTTGAAGAATAAATGTAGAGTGACACAACAGTTTTGCTTAGCAGAGACATTTATTCTCTACTGTTGGAAATGCAGCAAATGCACCCCACACTTTACATCATTTCCAGGGTTATTTTCAATGAGCTAGCCAACTGATGCTCAAACAGGTTTCAGACAGAAGGAGTTACAAGGAGGAGGACTATATCTCTTTTCAGAAGCCTTTCAAATCAGATTCTAAGTGTAGGAAACTTTTGTTTAATTCTGCCCACCCCCACCTCCAACATTTCAGGTCAAGTGTTGACTTTGTGCGAATTCACTCCTTTATCACAGTTGAAAGAGGCAGTGCCTCAAGGAAGTCAGTGCCAAAATTAACCTCACAGTGTTTACTGCCACAGCTCCTGGACCATTAGTACACAACTAGAAATGCTATTTATGTCACCTGCACCCTCGCTCTCCAACAGCCCTACCCCGCTGACAGTCCCTCTGGTGATGATCTTCTTGTGCCTTAAATTCTAATCTCAGCCAGCAGTCCTGGGAGCAATGCAAAGTGGATTACACACTGTGGTCCAATGCTTGTGCTGACAGCTGCTGTAATTGTGGATTCAAGCATCTCTCTGAAGCTGTGTCATCTCTAAATTCTGTTTATGCTACTTAATTCATCCATAAATGCTGGAGGACAGGCGAGTTCAGCCCAGTTCTGTTGGCTGAGTTGCTTCCATTGAGCACGTGGGTGTGTGTGTGCACGCGCAGCGGGAGTGCTCTCTTGTGCACTTTGTATATTCCATGGCATGGTGAGATGTAACCATGCCTGTGTGTGAGCTTCCATTTTAACCCTGTCGCATTTATGAGGGCTGTCAGGCAATTTATTAAAATGGCATAAGTCCTACCCCCTACAAAATCACACTTTTTGCATATGACCAAAGACTCTTGACCAAAGAGTGAAAGGATTCACACTCTTTGGTCAAGCAG